AAATACTATCCCAAAGCTTTCACTGTCTGCGTAAAAATGAAGAGAGAGTTTCTTTTTAGTTTTCAATCACCTTTTTTTTTTTAACTTTTTAAAGGAAACAAATATTTGAGCTTATAAGTAATATTAAGTATACATTTATTTTTTCCTGGGTTCTTGTGTTAAAGTTGTTTCTCTTCTATGGGCTTAGTTTCTGCTGGATTCATTCATTCTTTCATCGTCCACCTATCCATTTATTTGTTCATTCATTCCGGACCCCTACAAACCTCAGGATCTATGAGAACATGATGCAGTTGCCTGCTGATAATTACATAGTTATTTTCTTAAATAGTTCCGGTATGAGAATCCCAGATAGGCATACGCTAGTTAATAGTAGTATGTGTAAAAAGCAGGGGAGCAGTGGTCTTTGCTTTAATATTATTCCGCCTTTAGCAAGTTTCTAAAATTAAGTACCTGTCAGTCGACTGCCCCTCCTACTCACTTGTACACATTGGGTGGTTTACACATTTGAAGGAAGTCCGAAGTGAGAGGCAATCTGTGGCTGGTATTCCATTTCCTGTTCGCCCTCATTTTTCGTGTGTCAGCTTAATGTCATTCCTCAGGGAAGCCTGCCCAATGCCCACCCCCGCCCCCCAGATGAGTTACTCTTCGCAGCCTGTGCTCCTTTTTCACAGCAGTCATCACAAGTGCTGTTAAGTGTTTATTTGGGTGATTGTTTATTTAATGCCTATCTTTTCCATCTGACCATATGCTCTGTGAGGGTAGGGGGAACCATGTGTTGTCTATGGCCCAATTCCCAGAGCCTGTCATGGTGTCTGGCACATAGTGTGAGCTAATTTGTTGAATGAACTAATCAAAAAGTAACCACTAAAAAGACATTAAATTTAATGTAGCCACTAATCAGAAAAAGTGTGCATATTGAATTAACCTTTTTCATCTGTGTGTAATACTGCATAGGTACTGGTTATCATTTCCTAGAAATTACAGCATACTGAAGTGTGTGGAAATTAGAAAAGAATACGGTGTTCACTTTTTTTTTTATAAGGGAAAATTGAAGATCAGGAGAAACCATAAACTAGAGGAACTGTAGAACTAGTTGGAATATTAAAGTCCCTTCCTTAAAAATTATAAAAAAATAAAGGTTTTAAATTCAACTTGCTATTAGAACTTTTGAATGTATATACGCAGGGTAGTTAGGCTTAAAAACTCCCACATTGCTAGTGATTTGATAGATTATAACAACTCTTTCCCCTAGGGGCTGCTGTGCTTTCTCATTGTAAAATGTAATTAGCAGATGTAAAGAAAGGTTTATTAATCTTATAGGATATAACTATGGCTGTTTATATGTAAATTCTTCCACGTTCACGGATTGCTTGTCTTTCATTTTAAATAAACAGGTTAGAAGTCAAATGTCATTACCAATTTGATTAAAATCATTACAATTCTTTTTTTTTAACAGGTCACTACTTATTTTATTTATCAAAAGATAACGCTAACTTAATTGGCCTAGTTTTAGGGTTGGAATTTCCAATAGCCAAACCAAAATGTCTAGTGTAGATGTTCTGCCAAAAGTATTTGAAAGCATCAAGTTATAAAAAGAAAAAAAAGCAAAATAACATAGAAGCCTGGATATCTGCACCACCATCCGTCGGTTTATTTAAAGTGTCTAATGATCAATGATGAATGAGGCTGGGGATGGGTAGCTTCTGCTCGCCCCTCCCGTTTACCTTCTCTCTTGCGCTGTCTGTTCCCTCTCCTGGGAGGCAACTCTGTCCAGACAATGTCAATAGGTTCTTTGGCCCCTTGGTTTCCTGTGGATTTGGTCAAGGGGAGAGCCAGCAGGAGGTCAGGGAGGGCAGAGTTTGGGATATAATTTCCTGGATCCCACCCTGTACTGTCGCCAGGGGGTGGCTGTGTCCCTCCCTCTGCGGGGGTGGGTGGTCGCTGCTTCTCTCAAATGGTTTCTGTCCGTGACTCCTTCCGGTTTCTGTAACTCCTCCTTCCTCTGGTTCTTAGGGCACAGGGGTGGCAACTGACCCCTTTTGACTCTACTTGACTATGGCTTTCCACTGTCACTCCCTCTATACTACCCCTGCCTTGAAAATAGACCCCTTATTAACTCCCCTGAGTTACCTGAATTCAAGAGTGCCCTTGAATTCAGGTAACTCAGGGGAGTTTTCGCCCGAGTTTTCTTCGCTTCCCAGACTCATACAATACCCTTGAACAAGTCGTGATAAATGCACCCTTTTAAAACTCAGTAGAATACATCCAAGCGGATCATGTGAAACCCAGAGATGACATTGTAGTGTAACATATATGTCTACTTTCAGGCATACATACATATGTACAAAAATGCATTATTCATCTTTTGAAGAAAGTGTACCTCCTATGACTTCGTGTTCTTCATATTTGCCTCTGAAATTTCAGATTCACCATCAGCAGCAAACCCTCTTTGAATTATTTATCTGCTAGTGAGAATGGATTGACCTTGTCTCATCCTTCTCTGATTGACTCTGTTATAGGTGCTGTGCATTTGTGAGAAGGAAGTTTCTGGTGAGAGGTAAGGTCTGTATCCTGGCTCATAATAGAATTACACTTATGACCTTAAATGTTCTAACCATTGCTCATACTTAGTTGTGTTAACTGACCACAGGCCCTTTCACTACGCGTGTATAATTAGATGTTGCTTTCTCTGGATGAGCTGATGTTGCGGAGAAGGATAACGTTACAAGGATAACGTTACATACAATGAAATCATTCTCTCTCTCCGTGGCCTCCACAATTTCCCGTTTCAATAGACCACCTCTCCTTTTCTTTTGCTAAACCCCGCAGTGCATCAAAACACAAAAACTTGGGTCCTTCTCTGAATCAACGGTGGGAATTCAACTGAGAAGAGAGTCATGGACTAATTTCACATTTGGCATTAACTTGTACGAACAGGAAATTTACTCTCTGTCCACTGTGTGGATTTCTTTGAGCAGGTCCTGGTTTGGGAGGGGAATAGTACTTCAGAAACAAATTCAGGATAGTCGTCACTCTTATTATTACTTCACGCTTTGGCCCCACGTTCCTTTCTCCTTTTCCCTCTCCTCATTCCATTTTCATGAATCTGAGAGGAGCATGAAAGCTCAGGGTAGTGTGAGGAGGGGAAGGTGTGTGCTGAACATTGACTTCTAGCCCCAACTCCTCATTTTTATCCAATTTCTAATTAAATACTCACGTTTTGCCGCAAGCAACTAGTAGTTTTAATACCAGAGAGCAGTCAAATTTGAAAAGACAAAGTTAATGGCTGTAATCATTATGCTTTTCTGGACCTGGTTCTGCAGTGAAAACAAATCCATCCCAAGACCAGGTGGCAGGAAGCTATCATAGCGATGGCTGCTGTTGCTAAGGCCAGCATCACTGAAGAAGTGCTCAGACAAGCACTACCCCCTGAGGAAGAGCATGGCTTCAAGCTGATCTTTCACTGGAGAAAACCAATGATGCTATTGAAAGGCACCAAGAACCCAACCCGCCAACCTCTTCTACCATTAAGATCGACAATCAATGGATGAGGTTTTTGTAGAGATGAAAAAGCACGAAAACCTTTTTAGTAGGAATTGATGGTGAAGATGTGTGTGGCTCAGGTCTTAAATTGTCTTCTGTCTGCAAATCTGTCCTCAGATGTATGTGAGTTTCTTGCAGGAAGGCTTACATTTCCTGTGATCCTCAGGGGCTTCCTCTGAGCTGTGCTTTAGGGCTCATTGCCTGTCAGGGGTGTCTTGGCTTCCTATGGGATCCTTGGCAAACCAGAAACTGGGGAAAATGGACATGGGATTCATGTCATTTTAAGCAGATGTGGAAAGTTTCAAACTTAACGTAGTATTTTAATGTGTAAACAGTAGGGAACTTTAAAGAGGCACCTGGGGTGGAATTGTAATCTTCTTGGGCCATGAAAGAGTATCTAGGGTGGTAAAAGTCTCTCGGCCCCTTTGCATCTCAGTAACATCCCATCTCACCCTGTCAGTCGTGTGGCGTTAGATTCAGTGACTTCAACAGGGAGAGACACAGTCCACCTGAGGAAACTGTAAGCACTCTCAGCTCTGTCTAGAAAGTGTATGAAGCAATGGGCATGAGGCTTGGGGAAGAAATAGGGCTTGGCTGGGCCAGGGAACAGAAAGGAAGCCAGTCCACTGAGTCAGGTTAGCAAGGGGAAAAGAGGTCAGATGCTGAATTGCAGGGTCCTGTGGAAAGAGTTTTAGGCTTTATTTTAAGATTATTGGGGAAATGACTGAAGGGCTTTCAGCAAGATTTTGATATTACCTGATTATTATTATTTTGTTTAAGATCAGTTTTGTTGCTGGTGTAGAATGGATTTGAGAGGGACAGGAATGGAAGCTGGAAGACCATCAGGTGGTTTCAGGAATCCAGATACCACAGTGGGTTGGACTAGGTCAGGGCATGCTGTTTTGTTCTACCATCCCTACGGCATGGCCTGAGATGACTTCCTGAATGTTAGATTATGTCTAAGTTCTGGCCAGTAGGAAAGGGGGAGGGGCATGAGAAAGGCCTGCTGTCTCCCTTTAAGGACATGTTTTCAGAAGTTACACTCACCGCTATACTAATGATCATAGCTGCAAAGAAGGCTGGGAAATGTAGTTTTCTTCTAAGTGGCCAAGTCCTAGGTAAAAGTCTGGGGTTCTATCTGGAAGAAGTAGAAAAGAGACACTGGAGGACAATAATATCTGCTAACTACTATTTAAAAAGAAAAAAATATATATATGTTTGTTTTTATCTTTAACAAAATAGCTAAGAAACTGTACATGCATTTCTTTTGAAATAGAACTAAGTTGAGATCTAAGTTAAACTTTTGGAATATATTAGAGTATGTCAGTCCAAGATTCACAGAATACCTAGCTAATGCAGATCAAGTAATTAGTTTTATTAAGAGCTGGGCAAACACCAGATAACTTCCCAGACACATGGCTGGATTGGAAAGGATCCAGCATGGACTTGAGGCCGAAATGGGGCCTCCTACATCGCATCTCAAGCTTGGGACCCGCTTCTGCCTGCACAGAAGACTTGACGTCTCTTATTCAACCAGTGGCGTGGACTTCATGCTCTCTCACACACCTGTTGTCAGTAGAATATGGAAAGTGGTGGGCTTCTGCCCCAAGAAAGGAGCCCCTACCTGTTCTTCTTACCACACAGGGAAAAGAAACAAGCCTGGGCTGTGTGTGGGCAGGTCAGAGAATGAAGGCAGAGCGTTATCCACTCTTGCCCAATAAGCACAGAACTCTGACCTCTCGTTCAGTTTCTCCTCCCCTTTGGGAGAATACATAAGAGGAGGAGGTCTGGGTAGGAAACATGCATTCTGGAACTCCCCAAGAGGGATGAGGTTGAGGGTAGGAATCTCTTCTTTTATAGGCTGAAGTGAAAATATAGTGGGAGAAGGAGCGGGTTTTTTTTCGAACCAAAACAATTATCAGGAAATGGAAGCTCAAGCAATTTTTAAAGCAGGGTATGGTGATGGGTATCTTGAGTCGTGCAACTGATTGCCGCAGATATGCTTTATCTGGGTAATGGAAACTGGCCGTATTTTAAGCACACATCATATTCTTATGAAACCTCAGCACAAGGAAAAGAAGAAATGGGAAAAAAAGGCAAAATGACAGGTGTTTCCAAATGGTGCAATTTGGAAAGGGAAGGAAAACATCCTGTAAGTACAAGTGATGGAGGAGGCTTGGGAGGGAAAGTGGATGGAGAAGAGCTAGGAGGTTAGGGCAGGGCTGAGGGTGGGGAGGCAGGGCAGCGATGTCCCTTCTACAGAGACCTGGAAGAGTGGGTGGACTGGTAGGGTTCCGGCACACTCACGGGATAATAGAAGAGAGGTGAATAAAAGGACCATTTATAAGGCGTGGGCACAGTTAAAGTCCCAAACCTGAGATGGGGAGAACTCGGGAGCTAGCAACCGTGGGAAGACCTGAAGGGCCACGGGCAGTGACTCATCATAGGAACCTGGTGAGGGCCTCAGCCGCGGATGAGGACTCAGGTAGAGAAACACGGAGTGAGGGCTGTGGCGGGGGAAGGAGATGGGGACTTCACTACTCCCTTCTGTCTTCTCCTGCCCTCACATCTTCTGTAGGTGCCTCCCACGGGCCAAATTCAACTGAAAGCCTAAAGTGAGGGAGCCCAGGTGAGACAGTCACAAAGCAACCTCCTAGGACATACAGCAAGATGGAGAACATCGAGAGGCACAAATGGAGAAGAGCCCACATGACATTTTGGTGGAATGTAGGGTAGGGGGCCATGGTGAAGAGGCTGTATCAAAATTCCTGCTGCAGTTTGAGTAATTAATTGCCTCCAAACATTCATTGAGCACTTGCTCTATTAGGTGCTGGTGACACCAAATAAATCAACAGAGACCTTGTCCCTGAGGGGCTCCTAAGCCAGCACACAATTGTGTTTATAATGGCAGATGATGGAGGCTGCGGGACAAGGGGCAACAAAAGACAGCTCTGCCTGGGAGTGTTAGTGAAAGCTTCCCAGGGAGGAGGGGGTGGGTGGGTGGATGGATGGATGGATGGATGGATGGATTGAAGTACAGTCTATTTACAATGTTGTGTTAGTTTCAGGTGTACAGCAGAGTGATTCAGTTATACATATATGTATCTATTCTTTTTCAGATTCTTTTCCCTTATAGGTTATTACAAGATATACAGTATATAGTTCCCTGTGCTATACAGTAGGTCCTTGTTGGTTATCTGTTGTATATACAGTAGTGTGTATATGTTAGTCCCAGACTTTTGAGCTGGATATTGCATTTGTGCAGAAGATCACCGGGTGGAGGAGAGGGGTCTCTCTACACAGAGAACAGCGTGGGCAGGGATGCAAGGTGCCATCAGGGTATGACAGCAAAGACTTGAAGTTGGGAAGGAGGATGGGACAGAATCCGACACCAGGGCTTCAGGAGCCAGACTGAAAAGTTGGGATATTATCCCTTGAAGGGGCAAGTGGGACTTAACAGAAGCTTATAAAGAATGTGACATCTTACAAAGGATGAGCTGATGCAGAATGCATTCCTTAACACCTCTTTTCTTGGTACACTCTCCTTTTCCCTCTCATTTCCCTCTTTACTTCTATGCCCCATCCACCACATTTTTTTTTTTTATTGTTGTTTTTGTTTCTGGTAGCTGAAACCTCCAGGGTGAAGGGATTAGTTAGGATGGATTCAGTGTAGGGAAAAGAAAAAGAAACATTCCAGGTTTAAAAATAATTCCCACTTTAGTTGCCAGTAGGAGTTTAATTTGAGGGTAGTGGAAATATTGGGGATACCAACACAGAAATTAAAATACTGAATGAGCCAATGCTTAGTGGTCGACCACAATAAACTAAAAATGAGATGCGACTCCATGACAATTTGAAAAGTCTTGAAATAGGCTCTGTATACCCTGGCGTCTATTATTGTGGGCTGAGACATAGCAAGAACTGAACAAATGAAAATACAAACACATACTCTCACGTTACTTTTCCGCACATTGATCCGCAAAGAGAAAACTCTCCAAGACTTTGCGGAGAAAGTCCTTTACCTAATTATTCAAACAATCATTTCTTATCTGCACTTTTATTTTATATACACTTTACACCTGTTTAATTAATCCTACACATGATGCTGACTGCTAATTAAACAGCCCTGAAAGTGACTGACTGAAGGTAGTAATTTGAGATAATTAGTTTTGGTTTCAAACACTAGATTTTCACACTTTGTGCTCATTTTTAGAAAAGGGTGACTCATTATTATAGGCAGGGTGGGGGCTGTGTAGGGCATTTTCCTGCTGGACTCTGGGCAGCTGAGGAAGTGGGAGGATTATTATACATCCAAATAGGACAAGGAAATGGTAGAGTGCTGTAGAATTTGCTAGAGAATGCTCCCCATCCCCTCCTACACACACACACACACACACACACACACACACACACAGAATTCCTTCCAAAATGAAGGTCACGGGCTTCTCTGGTGGCGCAGTGGTTGAGAGTCCACCTGCTGATGCAGGGGACACGGGTTCGTGCCCCGGTCCGGGAAGATCCCACATGCCGCAGAGCGGCTGGGCCCGTGAGCCATGGCCGCTGGGCCTGCGCGTCCGGAGCCTGTGCTCTGCAACGGGAGAGGCCACAGCAGTGAGAAGCCCACGTACCGCAAAAAAACCCAACCAAACAAACAAAATGAAGGTCAGGCTCATGGATCTTTTTCATTAGAACATAGAAATGAACATGCTCTTGATCTCTGGGAAAGTTTTACCTAGTAAAGTGTAGACCTCACTGAATCATCCATTGTCTCTTTCCCTGGTCCTCTAGAAGCAAGCAAGAAAAGGTAAAAAAAATTCAAGATTTGGTGTGTGGTTAGAGATTTGGACGGGTGTCCTTGCTAAGTAGTTATCTGCTACAAAGACACAAAGCCTAATCAAGGGGACAGTCTATCGAGAGATGGCTGGTGTATCTGGCAGAGAAAGCGAAAGGGCAAAAAGGAGGCAGGTCAGGACTAGTTTTCATGATCCCACAATGTTAACAGGCAAGTTATTTTGGTCCTACCGGAAGAATTGGGTGTGAAATAGGCTAAATCATTTTTTGCAGGCAATATAGATAGACACAGGTTACACAGAAGCGGAACAAATCCTGCAGCACCCTGGAGAGCTCCAAGCACATTCTTTTACTTCTCTTCCCGGGGGCAAGGAGGCTTTCATGTCTTAGGATGTTCAATGTCACTTCACTGGCTACCAATACGGACTAGGACTCTCTAGACCTAAGAAAGGTTTGGATACAGATGTTGAGGGTTTATAAAGGTGTCAAGAGGAGAGTCAAAACCTCCTTGTGGCTTGGGAATCATCTGGCCAGGGAGTGATAAGTGATGGTTGGATCCCAGAGTGCGTAGCCCTGTTTAGGAAGATGGAACGGTAGCTTCTTTGACATCAGAGCACTGACATTAGCTGCAGGATCTGATGGAGAGCAGAATTAATGGTTTTATGTACAAGTCAAACCTGCATCTTCAACCAAGCAACCTGAGTTAGTGCATCGTGGAATCATTTTGACCTCTGAACTTTCACAACACAGCAAGGCAGCAGAGGAGTAACGAGATGCACATCTCTTAAACTCCAGATCCCACAGTATTATTGCCCACTTTTTAGTTGTTTTCATTCATCTCACAGGAACCTCAAAAGAAACAAATCAAAAATTGAACACATCATTTTTGTCTTCCAGAATCTCTCTTGTTTTTCTGTCTTGGTAAATAGCAAACATCGTCTACTCAGATACCAAAGCCATAGAACTGAGAGTCATTACACATTCTTCTTACACATTTCCTTGTCTTTTAGATAGTTACAGGTTCTACACCCTTCCTTTTTTCCACCTGCCCCTGCCTTATTTCAGTTTTTATACTTTCTTACATAGATTTCTGTAGTAGTTTTCTAACTGGTTGTCCTGCATGTAGTATGGTTTCCCTTTAATTCAGGTTATCTCTAAGCATAGCGTGGGTCCACCTGCATCAGATTCTTCTGGAGGGCATATTAAAATGCAGATTCCTAGACCTCTAGACATCCTAAGTCAGAATCTTTGGGAATGGGGCTGCCCAGGTGGACACTGAAATTTGAGGGTTGCTACTCTCCCCACTGCTGCCAATGTGATCTTTCTAAAACAAAAATTTGATTATGTCATTTCCTTGGTTACAATCATGCTGTGCTTCCCCATGGCCTTGGTAATAAAATCCACACTCCTTGTCATACCTGACTAGCCCTTCATCCTCTGGTTTCTGTCCAGCTTTGCAGTTTTCCTTCCTGACATTCCTCCCTTGGTATCCTGCATTCCCACCATGTGAAATGCTGCAATACCATACCATGCCCTTTCTTTTTTTTTTTTTTTTGATGTGGACCATTTTTAAAGTCTTTATTGAATTTGTTACAATGTTGCTTCTGTTTTATGTTTTGGTTTTTTGGCTGCAAGGCATGTGGGATCTTAGCTCTCCCACCGGGGATTGAACCCTCACCCCCTGCATTGGAAGGCGAAGTCTTAACCACTGGACCTCCAGGGAAGTCCCACCATGCCCTTTCTTGACTCTATGACCTTGGACATGCAGTTTCGTGTGGCTGAAATGTCCTTCCTGGCCTATATGCCAGATTTCCTGCATCTTCCGTGCTCCGTCTAGCCTGCATGTCCTTCTGCCATACTTCTTTAACATCCCTGTATTCTTCTATCCTAGCACTTTTCACTGGTGGAGTAAGAGTCTTCACTTGTTTATACGAGTGAATATTGCATTTCAAACATTTTTAGGGGTAGATTTATGGCATGCAGTTAATTTGTTTCTCAGCTTGAATTTATTTAGGAGAAATGACATACGATCTCTAATTTTGAATATCTTCTAGCAATTCACCCTTTTTATGTCAGAAAATAGTCTCTTTTCCTAAAGCAATTGTGGTATGGATTCCTGTTTTGTGATTTTTCTTTTTTGAGGGTGGGAAGGCTGGAAAGATGTTATAATTAAAAGATACATGGTTAGCTATTCCCAAATCTTATTGTGGTGTGTAGTGATTATATCAATAAGCAGTGGCTAGACTTGCACAACTATATATTTAAAATACTTTACCAAAAATATAATCTTAAGGCTGAAATGGTATCAAGCATAAAAATAGCCTCATGTTAAATTCTCTGTTCATTATTATGTAGCCTTTATGTCCTAAAGCCAAAGATGATTTCAGAGGTGACTTTTTCTGAAGCATGTATGTACATTTCACGTTCATTTCTGCCTCATTTCCACACCAGAACTTATCATGTACAGAATAAAAAAGCAACAAAAACAAAAAGCACAAATGCTTTGCTTTGGCTTCTGAAACAATGGGACCTGAACCCAAACGAAATTCTTTCTTACTGTTTAGAAATGTGCTTTGAAAGAAAGCGAGTCCACAGACCCTTATAAAATACGTTCTAATTAAATTGGTGGTCATGAAACCATATTTTGGCTGCAGGCTGATCTGTCTAGGTTTCTGGTATAGCTTTGGCTATTTAGTCTCTCGTGTGACGATCCATCATTTGACAGCATTCCTCATGGGTTGAAATGACCTGTCATTTGTTTCGCAGATACCTCAAATCAGCTATGCATCCACAGCCCCAGAGCTAAGTGATAACACCAGGTATGACTTCTTCTCTCGGGTGGTCCCCCCTGACTCCTACCAAGCGCAAGCCATGGTGGACATTGTGACGGCACTGGGGTGGAACTATGTGTCAACACTGGCTTCTGAGGGCAACTACGGAGAGAGCGGTGTGGAGGCCTTCACTCAGATCTCGCGGGAGATCGGTAAGCGTATATTTATCAGATTATCGCATTTGGAGATGACAGGTTGCAGAAGTCTGAGCACCCCCAAGAGCTCTCTGATCTGTATGCGATAATTAGAGCTCCTAGAGATACGTGACCCAGGCTGTCCACTCTAGGGGGAAGCTGGGTTTATTATAAATGATTTTGTTGTTCTTGGTCTATCAAGGTGACACTTTGGTGCTAATTTAGGAATTAGAGCTCCTGACTCAGGCGAACATTTTTTAAAGCTGTCTGTTTTGACGAGGGACTTTGCTGGCACATTAGAGCCACTGTAAATTTGAATAAATGACATGCTATTTGATTGTTCTAGATGGAGGTTTACATTAGCGAGTCATTAAATTTTTTTAAAAAGGCAGTGGGATTTAACATCCAACACTAGAGGGAATTAAGACTGGTAATCATCTTAAAACAGTACTGAAGTAGCCCCCAAGGCTATACATAAGCGATATTCTTATTCTCATGTTTCACTTTTTGAATTTTTATTCTTACCTCAAACTCTGAAGCTTACAGGGGGATTAAAGGGCAAGATGTGAAAACTTGGTTAAAACAGGGTGCTCGTGAACTCTGTCCCGGGTTTTTTCAAGGTTCTCATCCAAATCTCTGTAGGTGTTTTACTACGTGTATGTTTAACCACGAGGCTTACACTGCGTGGAAAAACCAGAAAACAAAAACAACTTAGGGCATAAATATTATTGCTGACTGGCCAACAATATAACTTTGTGGTTGAAAGGAGACATGTTACCATTACTTAACAAATGCTATTGTTCTTACTAAGAATTACTGAATAAAATTTGCATATTTTTCTATAAAAGTAATAACAATGTTTTGTCGAAAATTTAACGTGCCCTTTAGCGGTTTTTGAGTAATTTTGAACTTGCAGGAAATTATATTGATAATTTATTGTTTTTCTTAGAAGCTTCAGTGCAGGAAAAGACCATGGGAGTGATTTGGGTTTATTCCCTAATTAGCAAAGACAAAGTTATTGGAATAAGGTTTTCTCTCGAAACACTTGAAGATGCCTGCGATCTGTTCTTCTGCATATAACAGAACATGGAAATTTATTATACATAATATTTGGTGTGTTTACCATTTGTTCCAGTGCTATGCTGTTACAGAAAATGTAGAAAAGACCTGGTTTTGTTGGAAAGATTGGCTTAATTTATTTAAGGGACAACTATTCATTCCTGTTGTAAATATCCAAGATGCCATAACCTGTGCTGTTTGGAATTTTAATTTATATCACTACTGCTATAAAGATGATTCAAAACATTCAACTGAACTTTAAATGAGGGTAAATTACATTACCTTCTTGGAAAAGAATCCCAAGTTTATCCTTAGGAGAAATGCCCACTCAAATGAAAACAATAGCTTCTGAAAGCAGGGTTAATGCATTATTTAAGCAGCTGATGTCGGTTCTCACCAAAGTGGTAATTCAACGACAGAAGGAAACTAATAGAGCACGTATTGAAATGAGAAGTTTTCTGCAGTGATCCTGTACATTCTCAACTATAGGGCACATTTTGTGTGCACGAAACAGATTACTATGAAAAATTCAGTACAGGACATGATTTGCCAGTTGTTGAAGTATCTGATAAAATGCATTGTTCTAGAAGTTAAGTGAGATCGCAGTTTTACCCTTCTTACTAAAAAAGAAATATTTTGTTTTCACTTTTAAGGAGCATTGCTCTTCTTAGGTAACTGTCACCTAAAAGGATTCAGACGATACCATTAATTATTGCTGTCTCTATCTTAGTCATTAGTACGGGAGAAAATAATTTTAGTGCCTTGTGTAGGATGCTCTTGATAGAGCAACCTGTTTCTTCTGTGTTGATCCTTTCAGTATTCTGTGACGTGATTGGCTTTCCATTCTATTTCAGTTCTCACTTATCTGGGGAATGGAGGAGGGCTGGGTTGTCAATTAATATGCAGAATACTGAAAAGGCCAAATTAGTACCACACTAGAGTATGCCATGGAATATATTAAATATCAAAATCATCCCTCATTTTAATGACAAAGATTTTATCCAGAACAAAAATAGCTGAAAATGAAACCTTTTACATGACAATGATATTAATGGGAATGGCATAGGGTAGCAACTTAACCCATTCTGAAATGATCTGATGCCTCTAATGAAAATTCATTAGTTCTATAACATTTGCTCCTCTTACTACGACGTTGAAGACATCTCTGTCACTGTGTTACTAGTGTTTTTAAAAATCTTAGTCTCTTGACTGAGAAGGAGATGTATACATCATTTTTTGGAGTGTCTGCCTATTAATGAAATTGTATATTTTCCCGACTCTTCTAAATTTTCCTGTACTCTGTTCAGGATTTCTCTTTTCAAGAACGTTGATTGCCAAGAAATTTCAGTGTAAATTGAGGCTTCCTATGTTTTGTCTCCGATTAATGCTGACAGATCATAATGGAATGATAGTGAAAGGAAAATCTGTTTAGTGATACAATGCCTGTACGGTTTGTTTAGAACGTTTTTCATTTTAACAAAATCTGAGACGTGGGGAAGTATCCTTCGTGAGTCTTGGAGAACGAAGTTTATGAGTGAATGATGGTCATGAACACAGATGCCCGTGATGTCTCTTCTCTGGTCACGATCCTTCTCAGGGAGAGAGGGACAGGAATTATTTGATAAAATAAGACAAATAGCCCCTTGATATCCTAGCTGTTATAATCTCAGCCCCTTGACTATAGCATTTTTATTGGAGAAGTCAAAAGAAAAATATTTGGGATCAACAAATAGCACAATTTGACTGGATCATAGTTTGTGTAGTGAGGTATGGAAGACAAAACTGGAAGACTTTGTGACAAGGACACATAGGTGAGCACTTTACCTCATAGGATAGTAATTTTATCCTTTATTTTCTAGACAATGGAGGAAACTACCGAGGAGAGAGGGGTCTACTAGGATATGTATTTAAGACTTTGCTAATGAGAAGCGAAAGATGGGGAGACCAGTTGAGAGGCCTCTGTAGTATCAGTCTTAGCCTCACATGGGGTAGTGGTAATAGAAGTGGAAGAGGGAACAGACTTGAGAGGCACTTGGAGGTGTAGTCTCTGGAACTTAGCAATTGATTGGAATTAGAGCTCGAAGGTAAGAATAAAATGAAGCTTGAAATTCTGAACCCAGGCAATTGGGAAAATGCAAGTACCATGAATAGAAAAGAGACAGTGAAGTGGAAAGGTTGGTTTGGGGTGGGAAGCATAGTTTGGTTATGAACCCAAGAAACTGTCAGTACTGGTACATACCTTTGTGGAGAAGAGCAGCAAAGAACATTGATCTAAAGCCAAGGCAGGAATTGAGCTATAGATCTGAAGCTCATTCAAATTGATGATTGAGGTGGGAAGGGTAATTGCTGAGGTAGAACATGTAGTAGAGTGTGAATTAAAGGGGGTGGAAGATACACCCTTGGGGAGAAGCTTTACATAAAGGTGTGGGATGACAAGCATTGGTGAGGATGTAAAGGAAAGGGAAACCTTGCACACAGTTGATAGGAGTGTAAATTGGTGCAGTCATTATGGAAGATAATATGGAGTTTCCTCAAAAATTAAAAACTGAACTACCACATGATCCAGTGATTCCACTTCTAAGTATATGTCCAAAGAAAATGAAATCAATATCTTGAAGAGATACCTGCACTCTTGTGTTCATTGTAGCATTATTTACAATAACCAAGATATGGAAACAAACTGAGTGTCCGTTGATGGATGAATGGATAAAGAAAATATATGTTAAATGGGATATTATTTAGCCTTAAAAAAGAAGGAAATCCTGCCACTTGTGACAACATGGATGAACCTGGAGGACATTATGCTAAGTGAAATAAACCAGATACAGAATGCTGCATGCTGTCACTTATATGTGCTCTCACTTATAGGTAGAATTTTAAAAAGTCAAACTCATGAAAGCAGAGTGTAGAATGCTAGGAGCTGGTGGGGGGTGGTAGGAGAAATGGGAAGACGTTAGCCAAAGGAAATAAACTTTCAGTTAAACAGGATGAATAAATTCTGAAGATCTAATGTACAGAATGGTAACTATAGTTAGTAATACTGTATTGTATACTTGAAATTTGCTAAGAGTTGATCTCAAGTGTTCTCACTACACACACACACACACACACACACACACACACACACACACACACACACACACACACACACACA